ATGCAACAATGCTAAAGTCCACAAAAACAAGTAGGCCCAAAATCTGGCTTGAGTAGTCCTCCAAAGAAATTCATGAAAGAGAAAACACAAAAGTTTTATTTTAAAATGATTCCCACTCAAGCAGGGAGCAACAAACCAACAGAAAATAAACCAATACTTTGTCCAAAAGCTTAAGTCAACAAAATTTAGTTGAAGCACTATGACAAAGCATGCTGCAAATGAAAGTTTCTGCTTTTGCTATCCTTGAAGTCATTCATGTGCAAATTACATTCTGCTGATGTGAACCGATCCGATTCATTACATTTTTTCAGGGGTGGAACCGAGTGAGAAGACGGCCTTCCTGTAACAGCTAATTTTCAAGTTCAGGCACAGACAGGTTCATTCATTCATTAACAGCTGCAGTTAGCCTCTTTCAGTTTTTATCATAATTAAGATAAGATGTAATCAGCTAACAGAAAAAGGGCCCTAAAAAAAATCCTCAAATTTTTAAGATTTCTTCGGTGTCACAGCAAAAGGGAATTGACAGTTAATTTGAGTTTTTTTATGTAAACAAAAACAGGACGCATGTACAAAGGCACTCATGTTGCTGCCGCAGTGAAGTGAAGTTGTTAGTCAAGACAGTCTGTTGCATGTGATTGCCTTGAAAGTGAGTGTAAGAGGGTCAGTTGCTCCTTTAATTTTTTAGTTTTCTCAAAACGACTAAAAGTCAGACTGATTTGCAGAATTCGACTAGACGAGTGTGAGATTGATGCAAACTTGCCAGGCAAACACTCTCATGCACTCGGCTGCTTTACAGACCCAGCTGTCCTACATTTGAGCTCACAGACTCGTACCATGTCAGAGGCAGTGAATACCTACAGATGGACCCATGACCAAAATTATAAACCACTCCCATTCAAAAACATTTGAGCTCAGACAGTGTTTTCACATTACATTTCAAATAATAATAACAGCACAGAATCTGAATCATGGCGAAGTTTAATATTCACAACATTGCTCTTAAAGATGATCTGCTGCGTTTTGTTCCTCCGCTGGTATCCGTTTCAGTTCCTCCTCACATGTTCATCGACAACATCAGGAACTGTGAAGCAAAGAGGAGAAATTGCAGACAATTTAACACGACCGGCAAAAGCATGAAGGCTGTGAATGCTACATCCTAAATCTGGTTAGTTATTGGGAAGCATAAACTGTCTGACAGCCTGGATAAACAGATCCATCAGGTATGTGAGGTACAGTACAGTAAAAACTCAGGATTCATGTTTGGCGTGTTTGTGGTTTTACCTGCATGATGTTCATTTGCACTCGTCCCCTGTTGAATTTGTCCATAGCCTGGAAAGCTCC